TTCACTGTACGTAGGCTCCACTTCTCAAAATGGGAAACACAAACACCGTCAGTTACTGTTTCCAATGTCAGGAGAGCTCCACTCTTCTAGTTCAATGACAAACCTACTCAGATATAAAAACCGAACTGCCAAATTATGTTTCACCAATATGAATTTATCTTACACAATAGTGGAAAATAACAGAAAATGACATACCTGCATACATAAACAAGCAAAAAAATATGCGTAGCCTAGCCACCTTTTCTGTAACTGGTCAGGAGGCTATAGCTGTGAGATCTGTAACTTCCTTCTACTAAGAAATCCACATTTGCTTTGTGTTTGGCATCTAGCATGAGTCCTTCTAGCATCTCAACTAGTTAGAATTAGTTCCTTACCTAGTGAGGCAGTCTAAAATCTTTATTTCTGAAGGGCCTAGCCCTACACTGGTTTGCTTTAATCTACTTTTACCACTGAAGAATTTCTAGGAGGTATTGTAGAAAATCCCATGTTGCAGATACAGTTCTTATTGCTCTTCAATATTGCAACAGTCCAATTTTCCCTCGATAGTCACCCCGGCCGGTAAAAAACCACCTTCTTTGCTTGCTGGTGAAGTGGCATGAGATGTGGTCTGTCGACAGTCAAGGGAACCATTATTTTACCCTCTGGTGGAGGCACTGTTCCCTTTGGAAGTAAGGCTTCATTTTTAAAGAGAGCTTTTAGGCATATGAATGAGAAGAGCCACTTTTACATCGCCTCTTGATCCTTAGATCCAGGTAGCATCATAAACTGTTACAGTTAGAAACAATTAATCTTACTTCCAGCACATTCAAAAAAGGTTACATTTTGGATTTACTCTATCTGGTCTGGGTTTGTCAAGTGGGCCAGCTAAGGGAAATGTGTAAGAAACCACGGTTCTCCACTGTGATGTTAAGTCTCCCAACACCAGCCCAGAATCTTCCCTACTTCATACAGCAAAGAAAATTTTTGTAGGTTGTCCATTTATGTGAGTTTAAGCAGCAGCACAGTGATTTTAGCCACTAGCAAAGATCCCTACAGGTCAAAAATTTGGATTACCACTGTGGTCCTGTTGACCAATAATAGAGTAACCAAGTCCATACTGATGCCAGAAGTTTATTGGCACCAAACACCCATCCTACCCAACAGTCCCAAAACCCTAGCCTTTGCAGTCATCTTTTCTGGGGGGGCAGTTCTTAGAATTGACCCTAGGACCTTTGCACTGAGTTATCTCCCCAGTCCATGTTTTTCATTTTAACTTATTTTTTTAATTTTTCTTGCTAAGTTGCTACACTGTGTAGGCTGGACTCAAACTTGTGACCATCCTGCCTCAAACTCCCAGACTGTTGGGATTACAGGTATGCACCACCATGCCCGACTTCAGCATCATTTAGTGCCATCACTGAACCTTGTTTTAAATTAATCAAAATGCTACAGCTAAAATATCAGACTCTGGTAGGAACAGTCGTATCAATCAATGTATCATCAATCTTTCCATTCTGTTCTAGAACCTGTTTAATCCCAACATACAGAGTATGACCAAAAAATACACTAAATGTAGTTTTATAAAATTAAAAGTAAAAGACACATTGTTGTTAATGCCCCTCACCATACTCCTCTCCCTGCTTCAAACACTTGTCCCATCCTTCTTGCCACTGTCTGCACCAGCTCTGGAAGTCCTTTTCTGAGTGTCTTCAGTTGTGCTGTCATGGCTACCTTGGCCTGAACGGATTCAAAACACCTCTCAGGATCATTTTACTGTGGGGGAAGAGCTAGAAGGTGCACGGTGCCAGACCCAAAGAATAAAGTGGATGAGGACACTGAAACGTCTTCACGAGCCTGCCTTTCCCTGGGCTGGCACTTGGCAGCAGTGCTCAGTGTACTTTTTGATCACACGTACCAGGTATATACGTTCATGAAACAGGACTTCCAGAATTTATTCAACAAAATGGCAAGAATGATAGAATAAGAGTGGCTGAAGAGAGGAACAGTATGGTGAGGGGGATTAAAAGCCATGTACCGGGTTGGAGATATACCTCAGTGGCACAAGTGCCTGCTTGACAAGTACAAGGTCCTGAGTTCAATTCCCGGTGCCAAAAAAAAGAAACAATTGTTAAAAGCAATGAACCTTTAACTGGAGTAAATTTCTAAAATTTCAACATTCACTTTCTATTTTGATCACATCTCAGATCTTTCCAAGTTTTTATTAATATAAAGTAGCAAAATCCTACAAATCATATGGGGTTTTAGCTGTATCTTCCCAGGTTGGGTTTTCTACGTCTCCTCTGGGCCATGGTGGAATTCAGTGACTTCTACTCCTTAAAGAGTAAGAAAGCAGGGCTGGGGATTTAGCTCAGTGGCACAAGCGCCTGCCTGGCAAGCGCAAGGTCCTGAGTTTGATCCCCGGTACTGCAAAAAAAAAAAAAATGAGTAAGGAAGCAGGAGTGGAGCGGGACAAGAATACACCTGCTACCCCCTATCAGGAAGGAGATCATCACAGAATCTCCAAGTGAGGTATGACTAACTTCAGTAGATGGGGAGAGGGGACTGCTTCTTCAGGAACACAGGCTCAGTGGGGTTTGTAATTCACAGGCACTAGGGTTCATTTGAATCTATCTAAAATGCCCCAAATTCTCAACATTTTATCTTTTCCTGTTAAAGCTTAACTCTTACCTAAGAAATCTTATGTGGCTGTTAATTCAACTTACACTGTAGCTGGGCATGGTGGTGCATGCCTGTAACCCCAGCACTTGAGAGGCTGAGGCAGGAGGACTGCTGTGAGTTTGAGGCCAGCCTGAGCTACATAATAAGTTCAAGGCCAGCCTGAACTACACAGTGAAACCCTGTCTCAAAACAAACAAAAAAAAAAACACAAAAAGACAAACAAATAAAACAATAACTTGTATTGTAGTTCAGCAACCTGCAATGCCTGATTCTTGGCTACCTTAGCCCTATGGTGATAAGAAATGGAAAATCTTCTAAGGTAGTCACACAAGGGCCCTGTTTCACTGAATGAGACTTGAGGTAAAGATTTTAAATTATAAGATTGTTATTTGTTTTCCGTATGCACCTCAGTGTTGCTTAAGTGTAGATACACCAGAGCTTACATAACCTCAGATGTTCTTTTATTAAGGAGTTCTCAACTTCCCCAGTGAATTCCTAACTCAGGCGCAGAGTGAAGTGACAAAAAAGTCTCCAAGGAAGGCAGTACTGATTTTAGCAAGACCCAACTAGAGCCAGTTCTCTGGACCTCAAGTAAGGCACAGCAGTGAGAGCTCATCCAAGGTATGTACCTGGTTCCTGCGGCACCAGGGTCATTACAGCGGATCAGGACGCCCAACACTCCTGGAGTGCGGAAGGCCGGAAGATGCCTCAGCCGCTGCAGCTCAGCAGACAGGAGGAGCCTTGTCTCACTGGCCCCCATGTCTACCCATCTCGTGGCCTTGGAGAGTGTCCCCAGAGAAGGGGCCAGCTCAGTCGCATCATGAAAACTGGCAGAATTTAATGTGACATCTGCACAGATGCAATCCTCCTTTAAGTAAGAGGCATCAATAAATGTTTATGACCAAGCAGCTCACTACATTTTAAGGTGAAGCAGCTTGCCATTACATTTAATTTAAACATTTTGAAATTGAGTTTTCCAGGTGATATGTGAAGGATTTTTTTTTTTTCACAACTCAGTGAGTTCATTTGATTTCACTTTCTCAAGTGTCCGAAAGTGTAACATGTTTTAATGGAAACTGCAAATTTGCCAGAGTCCTCGGTTAGGCTCCTCTAAATCTGCTATAATCATTTCTTTGGACTGAAAATTCTTCTTTGCTCATATACTGCTAACCTACAATCACTCTGAAGACCAGGATACAATTTAAAAGCCTTAAAGTTCTAAATTAGAATATAAAATTTATTGTGTGGCTCCAGCTCAGTACAAATTTTTCCACAAATTTACCCAGAAAACAGATGCCCCTCAATAACCTCATTGAGAAGCCCCATCATTACTGCAACTCTCCAAGTTGGAACAAAATGCACCCAAAATTTCCTCTGACCAAGGACTTCTGGAGGCAGAATTTAAAGCAGCAGCCTCTAAGCCTCTTAATTATGGTGTGGATAAGCACTCAGTGAACACAGCGCCCTTTCTCTAATACGGTAGGCGCCAACCACTTGCTCTCCTCAGGGCCATTCCCCAAGCGCCACTAGGACGATAAAAATACTCTCATCCTTGACTCAGGAACTTTCCCTGAGCAACAGGATAGACACTACCAATGAAGCAGTGTGTGTCGCACGTGCAGGGGCCACCTGATTGATAAGCAAGGGAGGCAGAGTCCCTTAAACCGCTTTCACGGCAAGAAAATTCAGTAAAGGTAGACATAATCGGGGGTTTCACACCAGTTGCATCCTCAACTAAGTGTAACTTCAAGGCATCACTATTTTTTAAACTCTAGATTTCTCAACAATAAAATGATGGATCTAATCATGTCCTATCCTTACCACCTTAGGAGTGTAGTAAGAGCGTAAGTCAACGGTGATAAACAACTTAGGATACCTTCAATATTAATAGAGTATACAGAAACCTACACAATGTTTAGTTATACGTCATTCACGAATCTCTTAAAATCTGCAAGAGACGCAGAGAGTGCATAGATCTGGAGCAGACTCGGTGAATACGAGAGATCATAGGGTCACCATTCTAATACAGAAGGGGCTCCACTGAGAATATGTTAATAAAGTGTTTCACTCAGCTTCTGATTCTCTACCCTTATCAATAAGCCAAGGATAACTCCCTTTCTGTCTACTTTCCAGAGTTATCATGAAGATGAAAATCAGAACAGAACAGAAGTAAAAGCCCAGAGTTAACAAAGCAAAGAGAAAGTGTGTTACTAACTGTGAAAGTCTTAGTTACAAAGAAAGCATCACTGTAATTCAGAGGGCTTCAACTCCAACACCCACTCAAATACCCATGCCAAAGCAGGACAGGGTGGTGAAGAGGAGGCCGGCTGGAGCCCAAGTACCTGATGGTAGTGCCTTGCAAACGGTCTATCTTCTTATTGAGTTCAGCAATGATGCTGTGGAGCTCCGTGATGCGTTCCTCGTACCGAAGTGTTGTTCGCTCCTGGACATCCTCATGTTCTCTCATGAGATGGGACTGCTCACACTGAGGCCAAGAGAACAGGACAGAAGTGAAGATGAGCTGACACAACTTTTTGTCAAGGGTCTTACACATTTTATGGCTTCAAACCATCACACTCTCTACCCTGACTATGCCCAAAGCAGAACACACTCCTGCTCACTGGCGGGCAATCCCAGGAGACGTACCAACAGGTTAATCTTGTGATGCGCATGCAGGACATCTGAGGTACTGCTTTCCTAGCACTCGCTCTCTGACTGGGAAACAGTCCCTGAGCTACTGCACAGTCTCTGGGGGCCTGTGCAAGTAGCCTGCTTTCTCTTAGCCAAGAAATGGGCAAGAGGCCCAAGCTGCATCCCTCAGATACCTCCTCTGGGAATTTGAATCTTGACCAAATAAGAACCTAAGGTCACATGCTACGATTCCTCAAGAGCCTGGAAGGACTGTCCCTTAGTTCCTACTGCTCATGTATTACTTTATGGCTGTTTAGTTTCTCTTTTACCAATTTACTCCTTCCTTGCTAAAGTTTGCCAACTTTTTTTTGAACCAAGTAACTCAACTGACATGACAACATGTCGTATCTGGCTGGATTATGTGTGAATTTAATGCTTTCCAATACCCTTTCTTCCCAGACCATAAACTCCCAAAGGCCAGGGTGAAGTGTTTTTGGTGTTTGACCCTAGCCTCTGGCATATGGCCTGGCTCACTGCAGGGATCTAGAAGTGTTATGCAATGAATAAACTGCACTGCATCACACTGTCATGAAGGCTACTTTGCAGAAACAATGATGAAAGAGGCCAAGGAGCTTCCTTTGCTCAGTGTTTGATGGACTAAGAGGCAGCAGGTGCTATAAAATCATTTTTGTGGAGCTTAAATCCCAAGGAACCAGTTCTTTTTTCATTTGTCTCCACCATCCTAAGCCCCCATCACTGTGGAGTTGATTCATTTACATAACAATCACTCCTCAGGGATGGAGCAAGTAGTCTAACTTATATCCTTGTCTATCACCCTCAGCTCTAATTAATTTCCTGCCCACTTGAGGAATTTTAATTTCATTTCCAACAGTTTTTCTTATGTGAAGAGCCATATGTATTTGCCAGCTTTGTATTTTCAGGCCTGATAGCAGGCAGAGAAAGAGTAAGACTTTTTACCCACCACTGTACCTCTAATCCTCCCCCAATCCTAGATCTGCCAAATTTCCACAGATGTAACTCAAGGAAGAAACAAAAAGTCCTCACAGATAAGCAGAATGCTATATCCAGCCTAACTCAGTATTGAAACAGAAGTACTCAACAAAGACACGTGACAAACACAATGGTATATAAATCATGGCAGGAACTGTATCTATGAATATGGCCCTCAAAAGCCACTTGACCAGTATAATGTAATTTCCAATGAGTTATTCAAGGCTCCACAACCAAGATCAGAGGCAACAAGGTTGTAGGATGCTGTATCACAGACTTCTGCGGGTAGGTACGTTCAGAAAAATATTACAGTGAACTAGTCTTTTTAGTGACAACCTGAACCTCAATCCCCAAAGTCAAGTACATGGGAAATAAGATGCGTGAGGATGAAGATGGAGTAAAAGCCACCTGTACACACTGGAAGTGTAGCTCTGTGGCACAGTGATTATTTAGCATGTATGAGGCCCCGGGTTCAATCCCCAGCACCAAAAACAAAAGAGCCACACAAATGTGAAAACTTTCCTAACAGAATAACAGGCCGTGAACACTCTTTCCATGAGTTTAGACCTTTTTAATTCACACTGCATCAAACTTTAAAAGAAATAAGAGAAGATCACAAAATGACAGAATCTCAGAAGCAGTTTCTCCCCATTTCACTGGAGCATACCAACAGTAGAATACTGCTCCTCTCAGTCCCCATAAATATCTCTGAGCTCTTACTACTTACTGGTCTTATTCCTATCCCCAAACTGTGAGGCTGTCATATGCACACTGGACCTTTCCTGGAGGTCACCATGTCCAGATCTTCTAATAATTACAGGGCAGTTCCCAGTCTCCACCTGGATTTGTCTGTGTCATGGCTTCTTCATCGCCATGTCACTGGTTCCTCCTCTTTCATTTTCCACATTCAGCTCTTCAGGGCTAGAGTTTTATGTGAAACATTTCCCCTTCCAAATTCAATGAGCTCCCTCTCTCTTAATCCCTCACTTAATTCTTCCTTCTTTCTGATGTTTACATGTCAAAAGACCACTACCAACAACTGTATAGGTAAGAAATGGCAAAATCTAATTAACAGTGAGGAGAACCAAGTGTTTATGAAAGAAACCGAAAGATAGCCCTGGTGTCCCTGGGCACTGTTACAGGCTGCCCAGCTAGAAAGTTGCCAAGTCCCAGAGATACCAGAGTGACAGCAAGAGTATGAGTTCTGGTGTTCCACCGCCTCTGCCCGGGCCACTAACTGGAAAATCTGCCTGGAGGGTGCATGTGGGAACGAGACAGCAGAAAGCCTGATGATTCAGTTAGACAGAGCAAAAGGACTCATAAAGTATACTGGGAACGCAAAGGTACATTTGGGAGTAGTAACAAGAATGTATTGGAGAAAAAATTCTCTTAGCTGAGGGCAAAGAAGTCTGGCTTACATTCCTGTATTTTTCCTTAAGTGTATTTTTTTTAAATGGCAGCAAGTTCTCTAATTTAATACTTCCTCTACAGGTATCGGACAATTCTTGATTTCCCATACTGTCTAAGAGACATCATGAGGCTGGGTGCCACAGGGGGAGTGATTATGATGCAGAATTTGAAGGGAGCCATGCTCACAGCATCCAAGTAAACTAAAACAATCGCAGACTTCTGGAGAACAAAAACATGGGCAACAGTGGGGTGCCGAGGAGAACAGATGGTAGAGTGGTGCCCTGGGCTTCTTTCCCCAGTGAAGACGCAAGACTGGAAAAGTTGCTATCAAATCAATCCCAGCCCTACATGTGTGAAAGGCTAGGATGGTTCCTCCGTACAAACCACCTTCCTCTTCCGAACACACTTCACTCTTTTGTGTGCATTCATTCTATTCAGCAGAAGATACATTGAATCAGTGCTCTCAATGCTCAGAGAAAGCCCCTGGAGTTCCTCCAAGCCCTGGTGCAGGGGAAAGTGGAACAACTCCCATAAAAGCACAGAGTAGGAGGAAACAAGCCATTACCCGGAAAAGCCACACAATCCGACAAAACAGCCTTCCAAACAACTCCCATTAAACTGCCCAAGTGTCAGCTCCAAGAATGCACCACTTCAGCTCAGGAAAGGTGAAAGGCGAGTGAGTGGCTGACAGCCTGGCCAAACACAGTCGTTCTGTGCACAGCCGTTGCCTTCCCTGCCCTGGTGACATCCCACACAGGTAAAAATGGCCTGCTGGTGTGAAACCCAATTCTGCTACCCTGTTCTAGGGTGGTTACTGACCCAGTGCTTGCACCATCCAGACCTCCCACACCCTGGAAGGTGTGTGATTCCACAAGCACACAGGCTCGGCCAAGCTCATCACCACACCTCCATTTCACAGCCTCCTATGAACACATGTTTCCGAAAACCTCATTCAGGAAGGTAACACGAGGAAAACTAACCAGGAGAAAGGGGGCATTATTTTTATAATTATGATTGTGAGTTACTACTGCACAAATTTTGAATTTTAAAATTTTTATATCTGTCTCCTAAAACATCTATCATTCCTTTAAAGTAAAAAGAGAAAACTCTAGCATTTTGAAACAGTATGCTAATATTAACTACAATTTCCCTACTATACAAAGTCTTATTTTTATATACCTAAAACCAAGTGACCACTGATCAACCTTTCCCCACTTTTCCTCTTCATTTATAAAAAGACTGATCCTTCTCTTAGCACCTCCATGCAAAATCACCTGGCTATAGATATGTGGGTTTACTTCTAGAGTCTCTATTCTGTTCCACTGGTCTATGTCTGTCTTCAGGTCAGTGTCATGCTGTTTGATTACTACAGCTTTGTACTTTCGTTTCATTGGAGATTGTTTTGGTGATTCTACATAAATTTCACAACAATTATTCTAATTCGTGAAGAATGTTACTGGTATTTTGATAAGACTGTTTTGGGTAACATGGACATTTTAACAATCCAAGCAGGATCTTCCAATTCAGGAACACGGGATGTCTTTCCATTTTTTCCATCTTTGCCTTCTTTCATCGGTGCTTTACAGTTTTACTGTGTAGATCTATTACCTCTTTGGTTCAATTCATTTGTCAGTGTTTGTTCATTTATTTATTTATTTATTTATTCAATTATAGCAGCTATGGTAAAAGGGATTGCTTTCTGGGTTTCAAGTTCAGATAATTTGCTATTCGCTACTGGAATTTGTATCCTGCAACTTTGTTAAATTCATTTACTAGTTCCAACAGGTTCTTTTGGTGGAATTTTTAGGATTATCTATATACATATAAGATTGTGTCATTCCCAAACTGTAAATTTGACTTTTCCTTTCCAGTTCGGCTATCGTTCCCTGCCCCCCGCCGCCCACCTTTGTTTTAAAGTTTTCCTTTCTCTTTTGCATGTTTGTTTTTGAGATGAATATTGGTTATGTTGTGCAGGCTGCTCCTGAACTCCTGCGCCTAAGTGATCCTCCCACCTCAGCCCCCTAAGTGCTGGAACTACAACCATGCACCACCACACCAGTCTTTGGGAGTTCTTCATTTCTTCCTGTTGCTTGATTGCTCCAGCTAGGACTTCCAGTAACATGGTAAGTAAAAGTGGTGAAGGTAGGTATCTGTCTTGTTCCAGACCTTACAGAGAAAACTTTTAGCTATTCCTCATTCGAGCACATTACTGTTAACTTATTATAGTTGTATATGTATTATGCTGAGGTGCCTTCCTTCCTATCTAATTTGTTCAATGTTTTTGTCATGAAGAGATATTTAATTTCATCAAGTGTCTTTACTGCATCTATTGAGATAACTGCATGTTTTTGGTTTTGCAGTGCTGCGATAAGACCAAGGGACTCACACATGCTAGGCAAAATACTCAACCACTGAGCTATATACCCCTAGGCC